GCAGCGCAGTTGATCAGGGATTGCGATGTGTGCGCAATCCGAAAGGTGTCATATGCAGGGAGTAGGCCTGCCCTGGATTGTGATTGGGGACCACAATCTTGAGCAAGGGGAGTGCGGTGTCCTACTGCAGGGTGGGGGTTGCCCACTGCATGGATGAAATTTTTGAGACGTTTAGCCCTTTGCCGGCCACCGCGTGGGGTACACGCCGAATTGATTTTGCAATTTCGTCGGGCAACCTTCGGGCAGTTGAATTGTTTCGTAGGGCTGGCCCGGCCAACCATGTCATGGTGGGCTACTATGTGCCCATGAGCCTTCATTGCCAACGAGGTTCTGCAGGAGAAAGGAAGCCAGCTCGAGGATTCCGAAGTGGAACCACACACATGGCCGGGCATCGAGGAAGCACTAGCACAGCAGGACCTTGACACGGCGTGGACAATTCTGTCCGACATAGCTGAGGACTTGCTGCGTAAGAAACATGCCTCTGAGGCGGCTGGAGGGGGGGGTTCGTAATCATACGGTTCGGCGCTCTGCGCCTTGGGTGCCCAAGCCTTTCCGGCTCGGACACAAGGCTGCCGACAGTTGGGAATCCCTGCACTCCGGAGCCTGCGGCGCAGAGGGATTCCCGCCAAGACCAGTTGCGAACAGGCAGCGTGGAGGAGCGCGCAAGAACTCCTCACGGTCCCGGAGGAGATAACTAAGTTTAATGTGGAGGACTTGCCACAGTCTCAGAGCAGGTGCGCCAGGAAGAAATGCAGCCAAAACCAGCCGCATTGAAAACTGGCAGAAGCGGATGGACAGCGGAGGAAAGTCCTGTAGAAAGTGGATAATGCGGCGCGCCGATCGCCGATTGACAGCAGCCCCCCTCCAACCGGAGGCTGCCGTCCAGCGTGTTGTTCATCCCAGCTGTGTCCTCAAAGAAGTGACCGCTTCCTTGCGTATTGTGCTCCGCGGACACTAACTTGCTTGCTGAGCTGCTGCAAAAGGTCCCTCGGCCTCAAGCCACTGTGTGTGATGTCACCATCACACCAAAGAACTTGCGGGATGCGGCGTGCGCCATGAGGGCACGTGCGATTGGCCCCTGCAGTGGTCTGTGGAGGCGGTGCTCAGGCTACCGCCATGCTGGTGGAAGCATTGCGCCCAGCTTTGGCAGGCGGTGTGGGAGACGGGACGTATCCCCGCCCGCTGGGCGGAGATGCGCATCGCCATGCTGAAAAAACACACTGGCGGATGGCGACCGATAGGCCTTACATCGGTCATGTGGCGAATCGGGGCCAAGGCCATCGCCAGGGCCATGCGCCCATGGATGGCCAGTTGGCTCGATGCTCATACGATGGGGGGGGTGTTTGGCGCCTCGGTGGCCGAAGTACATGCTATGATAAACTTTGACAACACTTGTGCTGCCATCTTTGTGGCAGAGGACTTGTCGTCCTTCTTCGACACTGTCGATTGGCAGGCTTTGTTTGTCACTTTGCAGCACTTACGGGCACTCGCCCATGCTGGCCGCCGCCCTATTGCACTGCTGGTCCTCGCTCGTGTCGGCCACGGGCGCAAGGTGCGTCAGCTTCGTGGACGATAGAACCATGTGGACCACCCATGTTGCGGAGGGGGTAGGCAGGTTGCAGCAGGCCAAGGTTACCAGCGACAGGTTTGACAGGGCACATGGCTTCAAATGCACGAAGCGCAAGTGCAGTGTTGCCGGCGCCAACACACCCCGCCGAGCGGTGGTTACAGAGGCCTTCGAGTATGAAGCCACGGGGGAGCTTAAGCCACTAGGCGTGGTTCATGTTGTTGGGGATCCGGGGGCAATGCGCCTCGCCTCTGACGCATGGGACAAAATGCGTGCACGCGCTGCCTACGTGCGCATGATCCCTGCACATGCGTCCTTGCGCAACAAACTCATGCGCCCGTTGGTTGCTCCCTGCATCATGTGGGCCCCTTATGTGGTGGCTAACAATGCCACCTTGCTGCGTGACCTACGCAAGTTGCTGCTGCGCGGAGCCTTTCCAAAGGCGCTCAGGGAGACGACATGGCTTGTCCTTCTTGAGGCCCTTGGGCGTGAATTTGATCCCACCTGCATGGCTACTTGTGCGGTTTTCACGCAAGCCGTACGTTGGCATTGCAGTGAGCCGAGGTGGCTCGACACCGTGCCTCTTGAGTTTGCAGGTGGCGCCAGGTCCCAGGCGCACAGCAGTTGATGGACAAACTGGGCTGGTGGCATTCTGCCGATGGTGGTTTCATCTTTAGGAGGGACCAGTGTGGGCAGGTTCGTAGGTTTGAACTAGGGGTTGACGGGATAGGCGCCCTAGAGGGCTGGGTTAGTGACCACTTGCGTGTGCGCGATCTTGCGCAGTGTGGCCGCATTCGACAGTCACACCACCGTGCAGAACAGCCCGCACTTGCGCAATCGGAGGACCTTGCTCCCAGTCACTAGGGCCGCAGATGTCTCTTTGCCGGGCACGTGCAGCTCTTTGCCAAAGCGCAGACCAAGGATGAGTACAATGCTTCCCTTGTCACGGGAGGCAGCTGCTGGACAGTCATGCCAAACACACGACTGCATGAAGTTCACCCACACGCGGTTTGTTTGTGCGGTGCCAAGTTGCCGTCAAGGCCGCACCTACGGTGGCAATGCCCGGCAACTGAGGACCTCCGGCGACACATGAGACAGCCTCGGACACGCGCGGAGCATCGCCTGCTCGCTGTGGCACTCGATGAAAGGCCGGGCCCACTTCAAGGGGTGGAGGGGCGGGACGAAGTGCTCAACCAGCTCCCGTCGGCCCTGCTGAGCGACTCACTTAGCAGTACTACCGACGGCTCAGCCGCTGAGGGGGTGGCTGCCACAGACTGCATTTCGCTGTGAGGTTGAAGCCTTAAGCATTGTGTTGCAAGCTATCGAGACCGCATTCTTGCGGAATTGTCAGATTGCAAAAATCGTCATTGTGTGTGATTGCCAGGCTGCCATCCTTCTTGCAGAACAGGGCGGTGGACAGCGCCCTCTCCTTGCTAGGCGCGTGCGTGAGTTTGAATTGCCCAGTCACGGGACGGGAAGCAAGTCCCGGGATGGGTCACGGAGTGTGAGGCCCCTGAATGCCTCTTGCGTCAGTGGAACAATCGTGTTGATGCAGCAGCAAACATGCACCGCGAAAGAGCAGCCGCCGGGAACAACCAAGCGGCATGGCTGGCGCAAGCTCGTGACACTCAGCCATGGGAGAAGAGCGCCGTTGACTTGTTGACCTCTGTCACACAGAGGTACAAGGCCCACGTGGTGGTCCCAGACCATGGCATCCTGTTGTCCACAAACACCAGTATAAGACCAAGGTCGAGTACACCTTCG